TATTTATATACCGCCTTTTCACTGCACATCGGAGTCTCAAAGCGGTTTACAATTGTTATTTTTTGGGAGCGGGGTCGCCAGTACAGGAGGCACATGCCAGACCTATTGTACATATTTTTAGTGGTAGGGGAAACCGGAGCACCCGGAGGAAACCTACGCAGACACGGGGAGAACATGCAAACTCCACTCAGAAAGGCCCTTGTCCAACCGGGATTTGAACCCAGGACCTTCTTGCTGAGAGGCGAGAGTGCTATCCACTCAGCCACCGTGCCGCCCGTTTCTGAATCTGTTTGGCAGTGAAAGAGAACTCAGTAAAGAATTATAAGGAAAACTCGAGGCAACAAAGGCTCATCATGATACGGAGCTCGGGTGGAAATTCAGACTGGAAAACAGGAAACACTAAGCTCACGACGCTCAAGTCCTTCCCCCGTTGATTCACGGCAACAGCAATCAGTCAATCACACTCAGACTTCCCACACTCACCTGCAGCAATCACCACTGCCCGCATCAGCTTCAGACCGAGAGGAAGCTTCATTCATGCAGCAACCTTCATCATGCGGTGCTCTGCCGGGGTCTAAGAGCCAAATCTCAACCACATTTCTCGTACAGCAACAATAAATGTATACTTGAAAATGTCGTCTTCGGAGTCGTATGTACTTCAATCAATCTGTATTTGTAGAGTGCCTTTCATACACAGGGCAACACAAAGCGCTTCAGAGTCCACATCACACAAGACACAAATCATCACAGAACAAACACCAAAATCACCATTTAAAACACAATTCAAAATCACATAGATCATAAAAACATTAAAATCACACAAGATATTAAAAACATTAAAACATTAAAATCCCACAATAAATTCAAAACATTCACACAAGGCATTACAAAAATAAATACATTTATCTCTGCATTAAAAATAGAGAAAACATTCTACTGCAGTGTCAGTTATTAACACATTTTATTTACATTTGACACCAAATTTCAAAGTGCTACAGCGTCAGCAGCATAAATAAAAGCATAACACACATACAATCAAATAAAGAGACTAAGAAATTAGCTATACGCCTTAATAAAAATATGGGTTTTGAGTCCCTTTTTAAAAGCTTCCACCGTCTGTGGGGCCCTGAGGTGGTCCGGGAGGGCGTTCCACAGACGGGGAGCAGCGGCCTCGAAGGCCCGGTTCCCCATTGTCTTGGGCCGTGTCCTGGGCGGGAGCAAACGGTGCTGTTGGCCTGACCGGGTTCTGCCTGAGGAGTGTGGAGTGAGGAGGTCCGTGGGGGCATCACTGTGAAGACAGTGGTGGCCCCTGTTTTTCTGTTCTAGTCTCTCCAGATTGAAATAACCAGAACTCATCATGACTCAAACTGTATTCATAATTTAACAAATATGCACATTCTCATCAACTCATCAAGTTTATACAAAGTTTATATTATCCTATATAAACTTTGATTATGATGAGTCTTGGTTACCTCTGGTTTCTGATGAGTTCATGTTCACAGCGAAACTCAAAGTGATCATAATAATCAATAATGAATTAATTCACTCATTGGATCATTTGCATGATTCATCTGGAAATCATGATGAAATCATGTTTGAATAGATAGATACTTTATCCCCTTATAGGAGAAAAGCAGGGTGTCCAGTAGCAGCAAAAACACATCCATCCAAACAAACAGAATATAATATGTCATGGTGGATTTTATTTCTGTATTTGGTTTTATATTGACAATAGTTCTGTGGTTTCATTTCAGTTTTGCTTCCAGTCCTGATTATCTGCCCCGCCCTGATGTGTTTCACCTGTGTCAATATGTACCTGTCTCTCTGTGTCTATATGTACCTGTGTCTCTCTTTGTCAATATGTACCTGTGTCTCTGTGTCTATATGCACCTGTGTCTCATTTGTCTATATGTACCTGTGTCTCTGTGTCAATATTTTACCTGTGTCTCTGTGTCTATATGTACCTGTGTCTCTGTGTCTATATGCACCTGTGTCTCTCTGTGTCTATATGTACCTGTGTCTCTGTGTCTATATGTACCTGTGTCTCTCTGTGTCTATATTCAGATTCAGATTCAGTTTATTTGCCATTTGCAGTAAAAAAACCACATTGGAATACATTAGCAAAAAGTCTCCAGTGTGCACAGACAAATACAGACAATAAAAGACGGAAATAAAACAAATAAAACAGTAAACAAATGTCACTGTGAAATCGATCGACTAAAACAGTTTCAAAACAAGTGCAAATCATTAAAGTGCTCTGTTCACTCTTGTTCAACAGCTTGTGGAAAAAAAACTATTAGCGTAACGAGATGTCCTGCATCTCAGAGAGCGATATCTTCTGCCAGAGGGAAGAAGCTGGAACATGGCTTTCCCAGGGTGGCCAGAAGAGTCATTAACAATCCTAAGGGCTTTGTTTAAAAGTCTGGATTTATAAAGAACCTCCAGAACAGGAAGCTCACAGCCCACGGTCCTCTTTGCAGAGCGGAGCACCTTGTTTAAAGCTCTCTTTTCTTTGTCTGTGATGTTTCCAAACCACACAGATGTGGCCGAGTAGCCTATAAAAGGGAAAGCAACGCCACCTAGTTTTAAAAATGAGACTAGGACTCAATAAAGGAAGCTTCTTAAAAACAAGGTGAGCAGTGTAAAAACCAGAGTTTTAAAAGGGATAAAACAATTTATTACAAATAAAATTACCGAATAAAATACTAAAAATAGTAGTAGTAAGTAATCTTTATTTATATACCGCCTTTTCACTGCAGATCTGAGTCTCAAAGCGGTTTACAATTGTTAATTTTGGGCATTTGTCTCTCACTCCACACAGAGATGGGAGCGGGGCCAGTACGCCAGCGCATGCCAGAACTATTGGACATATTTTTAGTGGTAGGGGAAACCGGAGTACCCGGAGGAAACCTACGCAGACACGGGGAGAACATGCAAACTCCATTCAGAAAGGCCCTGGTCCGACCGGGATTCGAACCCAGGACCTTCTTGCTGAGAGGCGAGAGTGCTATCCACTCAGCCACCGTGCCGCCCAAAAAAATATAAAAGCAAAGTCCAGTTAAAAGTCCAGTAAGGACAGGGGCAACTCCGCGTTCCAAAGGCAGCAGACCTAAAACCAGAGGAGCAGGAGGCAGTAAAATGTTCTTTTTAAAAATAGAAAACTGTAAGTTAAAAGTGGGATGAATCCCGGCCAGAGCACTAAAGGTCACTTACGTGCACGGGCAGAGAAACTCTGCCCGCTGCGGTGATGTCACGTCGTGCTCTGGCTCCACATGAGGTAATGGCTGGCCAGGCCCCTCCCTGAAACAAAAACGGGTCTCCCACAGTAAAACTCCTTAAAAACAGATTTCTATCGGCCAGCAGCAGCCGTATGCCCGACCAGAGCACTACAATGTTACTTACAGGCACGGGCAGAGAAACTCTGCCCGCTGCGTGTAGTCCGCGTCGCGCTCTGGCTTTCCGTGGGTCCTGTGCAGGTACTGCTGACTGCTGCTGCCGTTCTCCGTTGCCTCCTCTCCTCGGTCGCCCAAGACACCCTGTCGTCAACTTGTGTTCTCCTCTGCCTGGGACGGGGCCGCAGTCTCGCCAGCCACTTGCCGCCCACGGGTTGCCACTGGGCACACGCAGGGGAGAGCGGGCACATTCCATTCATGATGTTGGGCCTAGCCCGGTGCACACACGCCTCTCTGCGCTTTCAATGCGCGCCCATCACCGGTGCCGCTCTCCCCGCTGGCCTCAGTCCCCCGTGGTCTCTGGCTGGCGGTGCCCCTCCTTTGGCCCAGTCCGGTGTCCTCCTGCTTCTTCCTCCCCCATAGTCTGTTTAAAAACCCTTTTCTCATTGGCTCCAGCCCCCAGTGTCTATGTCCATTTGTTAAAATCAGTGGAAGCTGCCACAGGTGTGAGGATAAAAAACAGGAAGTAAAAACACACAGTGCGGCACACAAAACACATTTCAAAATAAAAGCATGCATAAAAACAAAGTGCGCTGTGCGTCTACCCTGTGACATCCCCCCAAACTTTAAGGGTGGCAGTCCCTGTCACCTCAGTCTTCGTCTGGTCTAAAACGTACTGGTGGCTGTCCCAAGGTGGGTTTAAAAATAAATAGTATGGGGACTGGTTAGGCACATTCTGCTCTATGGGAGTTTCTGGAGTCCGCTCAGTGGCTTCGTTTACAGGACCAATACAGGGTTTAAGGGCATTTCTGTGCATGGTCTTCTCTCTACCCCCTCTTTCGGGCCTGATTTTATAGACCAACCCAGTACCTCCCAATAACTCCAAGACAACATGGGGCTCAGGATCCCACCCCGGGTGCAGCTTGCCTTGTCCCTTCCTATTCCTACCTCTCACCCCCTCTTTCGGGCCTGATGGTAAGGCATGGGCCCTTCTGTCATAGGTTTGTTTATTATGTTCAGCGGCTTTCTCCAGTATTGTTTGATGGAGATGAGAAAAATTATGAACTGTGGGAGACAAAGTTCTTGGGCCACCTCCGTTTGCAAGGCCTGAAAGACATTATTCTCAATGTACCCGATGCGGGAGACGCAGAGGAGCAACTTGAACAGGACGCCAAAAATGCAGAGGCTTACGCAGAACTCATTCAATTCCTGGATGATAAAAGCTTGTCATTGGTAATGCGGGAAGCAGCCGATGACGGACAAAAAGCCCTGGGGATTTTGAGAGACTATTATCAAGGCAAAGGAAAGCCACGTATAATCAGCCTTTATACCGAGCTGACGTCACTTCATAAGAGTGAGAATGAAAGTGTGACTGAATATGTGATTCGCGCAGAGACAGCCATCACAGCGCTGAGGAATGCCGGTGAGGCTCTGAGTGACGGACTATTGGTCGCGATGGTCCTCAAAGGGCTTCCCGAACTCTTCAAACTGTTTGTGATCCATGTCACACAGCTCGATGAGTCCATATCTTTTGCTGAGTTCAAAACAAAGTTACGCAGCTACGAGGACACTGAGAGCATGCGGGTTTGTGCAGCGGAAGATAACGTGATGAAAGCGCGTGTGCAGCAGAGATGGAGACCTGCTGTTACGGGTGACCGAGGAGCGGACCGAGGAGCGGACCGAGGAGCGGACCGAGGAGCGGACCGAGGAGCGGACCGAGGAGCGGACCGAGGAGCGGACCGAGGAGCGGACAGGACAGCGACGGATTTAACGTGCTTCAAATGTGGATTGAAGGGACACTTGGCCAGAGCCTGTCAGCGCAGACTGTGGTGCAGTCACTGCAGGAGCACTACGCACCGGGACACCACCTGCAGGAGGAAACAGCGCAAAGACCGGGACGACGCTCACAAAGCCTCCGAGGAGTGTGCAGGACACCAGGAGTACGCTTTCAGAGCGAGCGAGGGGTCTGCAGGTGTCGACATGAAGGGCCTGATGGTCGACTGCGGGGCAACCTCGCATATAATTACGGATCTCGCAAAGTTCCAGAGGTTCGACCAAGCATTCCAGGCAGAGACACACTGCGTGGAGTTGGCTGATGGAACAAGGTGCCAGGGGGTAGCAGTGCGCCGCGGAGATGCTGAGGTCAGTTTGATTGACAGCTGTGGCAGGCATCTGCGCACCACGCTGAGACGAGCACTGTACATCCCTTCCTATCCACAAGACATATTTTCGGTGAAAGCAGCCACCTTGAACGGGGCCACTGTGACGTTCAAGAACGGGAAGGACTGCCTGATTCACAAAGACGGTACGAAATTCCACATTCACGAACATTCCAGACTGTATTATTTACACACTGCAAATAACGATGAATGTGATGACCAATGCAAGGGGTGTTTTGACATGCAAACATGGCACGAGATTTTAGGACATTGTAACTATGATGATATCCAGAGGTTACAAAGTGTTGTTGATGGTATGAAAATCAAAGGGTCGCCAAACCAACATCCACAGTGTAAAGTGTGTATGCAGGGGAAGTTTTTCCAGACTAGAAACAGACAACCAGATATAAGAGCTAAAAGGCCTCTGGAGCTAGTGCACACTGATTTAGCAGGGCCAATTCACCCGGAGTCTAGAGACAGTCACAGATATGCGCTTTCCTTCACTGACGACTTTTCCAGTGCGGTTTTCGTATATTTCTTAAAGAATAAAAGTGACACTGTACTTGCTACTGAAAAGTTTCTAGCTGATACGGCTCCATATGGCAAAGTCAAGTGCTTCAGGTCAGATAACGGTACAGAGTACACGGGGAAAGAATTCCAGGCCCTACTAATTAGACATAAGATCAAACATGAAAGGTCTGCCCCTTACTCTCCCCACCAGAATGGCACTGCCGAGCGAAATTGGCGTACGCTTTTTGATATGGCACGATGCATGTTGATTGACAGTGGTCTTCCAAAAGAACTGTGGACTCATGCGGTACAGACAGCCGCTATTGTGAGAAACAGATGTTATAATAAACGCACAAAGCAGACTCCATTTGAAGGACTTACAGGTCGGAGGCCTAATCTATCTAAAATGCAGAAGTTTGGGTCACAGTGTTTTGTGTATAAACAAGACAAAAGAAAACTGGATCCAAAATGTGAAAAGTGTGTATTTATCGGATTTGACAAAAACAGCCCGGCATATGTTGTCTATTTTCCTGACACTAAGAAAGTGCAGAAGCACAGGCTGATACAATTTGTGACTAAAACTGGTGTAGAGCAGCAGACACAGACTAACTTTACACCTTCTGATTTTGTGCAATACGAGTCGAGAAGTCCAGGTTACAGTGTTCCAGGTGGACTAAAATCTGAGGAGATCAGTGACCAATCAGAATTTAGCCCACATAAAATACAGCCAGTAGAGGGCGAGAGTGAGCCTGAGCCTGAGCCCAGACGTTACCCTGTGAGAGAGAAAAGAATGCCAGACAGATACACAGACTGCAAAGTATCTAATTATGTGTCTGAAGAGACCGATCAAGTCCAGAGTAACATTGATTACTGTTATCGAGTTATTTGCAACATACCTGTCTGATTTACAGAAGCAGTAGCCTCAGAAAGATCCAAAGAGTGGATCCAAGCAATGGATGAGGAAATGCAGTCACTTAGAGAGAACGAAACATTCACCCTAACCAGCTTGCCCGAGGGTAAGAGAGCAGTGGGGGGTAGATGGGTGTATGCAATCAAAAATAATATTGACGGGTCTGAGAAGTATAAAGCCCGATTCGTTGCAAAGGGGTACAATCAAAAAATGGGTGTTGACTATGAGGAGACATTTTCCCCCACAGCCAACCTCACAAGTATCCGAGTAATAATGCAAAAAGCAGCTCAGGAAAATTTGATTTTGCACCAGATGGATGTAAAGACTGCCTATCTGAATGCACCAATAGACTGTGAGCTATATATGGAACAGCCTGAGGGTTATGTGGTCAGATCTCACAAAAAGGAAACGTTGGTATGTAAACTACAGAAGTCACTGTACGGGCTGAAACAATCGGGCAGAAATTGGAACACATTTTTAAATGATTATTTGACTCAAAATGATTTTACCCAGAACCAGACTGATCACTGTGTTTATGTCAGAGAAACAAAGCGTGATAAGGTCATCATGGTTATTTGGGTTGATGACCTAATCATTGCAGCAAGTGATGTAAATGCATTGAATGTGGTGAAGAACATGCTTACAGCAAGGTTTAAAATGAAGGACTTGGGGAGACTTGGACATTTTCTAGGCATTGATTTTAACCAGAGTGATGACAGTGTAACAATGACACAAGAAAAATATGTCATGAACATTCTGAAGAGGTTCAACATGCAGGATTGTAAACCGAGATCCACACCCTGCGAACAAAAATTCAATTATAAGAGACACTGCTCCAATAATGAGTGATGTTAAAAAATACAGGGAAGCAGTGGGAAGTCTCATTTATTTAACTGTTTGTACTAGACCTGATTTAAGCTTTGTTGTAAGCAAACTGTCACAGTACTTTTCCAAACCAACTGAACAACAGTGGGGTACAGTTAAACATGTACTGAGGTTTCTCAAAGCCACATGTAACAAAAAGTTGTGTTACAGGAGATGTGATGGACAGTTGGGACTCCGAGCATACAGTGATGCAGATTGGGCTGCTGATGTCCATGACAGGCGGAGTATGTCCGGTTATTGCATAAGCTTAACTGAGGAGGGCCCCCTAGTGTCATGGAGAGCTAAAAAGCAGGCGACTGTAGCATTGTCCACTTGTGAGTCGGAGTATATTGCACTGGCTGCCACCATCCAAGAATGCCTGTATCTCAAACAACTCTTGGAGAGCATGGATCACAGTCAATATGCACTGCCCAAGGTGTATGAGGACAACCAAGGCACTGTGGCCATAGCCAAGAAGCCTGTCAGCAGGCAGAGATGTAAACATGTGGACATAAAGTACCATTTTATACGCTCCATTTTGAACCAGGGGACAATGTCCCTAGAGTATTGCCCTGCAGAGCAGATGGTTGCAGATCTGATGACCAAACCTGCAACAAAATTTAAGTTGAACAAGTTTGATGAATTCCTATTTGGAATTGACTAAAGAGTTTTTTTTTCCCGGTTGATGTAATGTAAGAGCAAGTGGGGGTGTTGAGTTGGTGCTCTCACTATAATTATTATTATTATTATTATTAATGTTTACGCCTGTATTTATGTTGAGAAGACTGTTTTATTTACATTTGGATAACTCTGTTTTCTTTTCCTGTTTACCAATGGGCGTGGTTAATAAATTGTCCAGCGCCGCAGCTGACGCTGGTTGCGCGTAATGGAATGAATGGAATGCAGTGTGTCCCGAGTTCTATTTCCTCCATATATCTGTCTCTTGTCTCTTTATCTGGGTTCACAACGCGAATCTGCTGCTGGATTACCTCTGCCAACAGACTCAATAAAGGAAGGTTCTTAAAAACAAGGTGAGCAGTGTACAAAACCAGAGTTTTAAAAGGGATAAAACAATTTATTACAAATAAAATTACCGAATAAAATACTAAAAATATAAAAGCAAAGTCCAGTTAAAAGTCCAGTAAGGACAGGGGCAACTCCGCGTTCCCAAGGCAGCAGACCTAAAACCAGAGGAGCAGGAGGCAGTAAAACGTTCTTTTTAAAAATAGAAATCTGTAGGTTAAAAGTGGGATGAATCCCGGCCAGAGCACTAAAGGTCACTTACGTGCACGGGCAGAGAAACTCTGCCCGCTGCGGTGATGTCACGTCGTGCTCTGGCTCCACATGAGGTAATGGCTGGCCAGGCCCCTCCCTGAAACAAAAACGGGTCTCCCACAGTAAAACTCCTTAAAAACAGATTTCTATCGGCCAGCAGCAGCCGTATGCCCGACCAGAGCACTACAATGTTACTTACAGGCACGGGCAGAGAAACTCTGCCCGCTGCGTGTAGTCCGCGTCGCGCTCTGGCTTTCCGTGGGTCCTGTGCAGGTACTGCTGACTGCTGCTGCTGCCGTTCTCCGTTGCCTCCTCTCCTCGGTCGCCCAAGACACCCTGTCGTCAACTTGTGTTCTCCTCTGCCTGGGACGGGGCCGCAGTCTCGCCAGCCACTTGCCGCCCACGGGTTGCCACTGGGCACACGCAGGGGAGAGCGGGCACATTCCATTCATGATGTTGGGCCTAGCCCGGTGCACACACGCCTCTCTGCGCTTTCAATGCGCGCCCATCACCGGTGCCGCTCTCCCCGCTGGCCTCAGTCCCCCGTGGTCTCTGGCTGGCGGTGCCCCTCCTTTGGCCCAGTCCGGTGTCCTCCTGCTTCTTCCTCCCCCATAGTCTGTTTAAAAACCCTTTTCTCATTGGCTCCAGCCCCCAGTGTCTATGTCCATTTGTTAAAATCAGTGGAAGCTGCCACAGGTGTGAGGATAAAAAACAGGAAGTAAAAACACACAGTGCGGCACACAAAACACATTTCAAAATAAAAGCATGCATAAAAACAAAGTGCGCTGTGCGTCTACCCTGTGACACAGACACAGAACCAACAAGTAAACTCTCAATGGTGCAGCGATAAAAGTTACGCAGAATCTTAGAGTTAGTGGTAAATTCTCTAAGTTTACGCAGAAAGTAGAGACGCTGACGAGCTTTCTTAACGACTCGGTCAGTGTTTTTAACCCATTTCAGGTCGTTAGACAGAGTTAAACCCAGAAACTTGCACTCCTCTACGATCTGCACCTGGGAGTTGTCGATTACGACAGGCAAATGAGAACTATTGCGACTGAAGTCGTGGACCAGTTCACATGTTTTGGATGCGTTCAACTGGAGGTTGTTAGTTTGACTCCACTGAACCACATTTTGTATCTCTGCTCTATAAGAGGATTCATCAGTGTCACTGATGAGACCGATGATGGTGGTGTCATCAGCATATTTAACCCTTGTATTATGTTAAGGGTCAATTTGACCCATTTCAGTTTTTGA